GCTAAATATGGAAACGCTTTCGAAAATGCACTACTGTTTTCATAAGATATAATCTTTTTCGTCAAAGTGAGCATTTGAAAATTAAAATATTTCGATAAAAATCGTTTTTTGTCATCATTCTGTCGGATACTTTACTAGAGCCCTCCGCCATTTCAATGCAAATTCATAGGAAAAAATATCATTGAAATCGCTTAATGAATTCATCTGAGGCTAATTCTCGTCGATGAGGGGTGCAGGTTAGTTGTTTCTGACTGAAATCTTATTGAGTTTAGCTATGACCGCTGGAATTGACAATTAAACGCGGTTGTGAGAAAAATCGACGATTAATTGGGTTAATTGACGGTTTTACAGCTAACCGCGGTGAATTGGCGGTTTTTTCACGAACCGCGGTTAATTGACGGTTTCTCGACAAAAACGTCGACATGGGTAGAAATTGATCAGATTTTAAACCAAAAATATCATTTGGCGAAGTGCCAAAAGTAGAACTTGGTGTATTCATAAAAAAATTCTACGGGAGGCAGAGAACCCCAGAAGTCAAAAGAACGAGAACAGAAAAGGTAGATCAAGCATTTTCTGAAGAACAAAACTGAAATCGATTCTCTATTCTCACAAAAAGAAAGATGAATACAGTTTCTGTATGAAAAAACTAATTGAAACCTAACGAGAACAAAACAAAAATTTGAGAAAAAGTGATTTAGGTAAGATTCGAACATCTGACCTTCCACCATCTTGAATATTAAGAAGCACAAACTCTCACACTTGGCTATCTTATAGCGTTCAGCACTTTTCGGCACTTACAGTACTTTTCGACACTTAGCGCACTTTTCGGCACTTTTTTCAGCACAAGTGCTGCTTTTTCTCCCTTGACCTATTTTCGACTATATTCAACTTTGAACTCTGTAAGACAAAACGCATTGAATATGTTATCTGACTCCTTTCTGCAATCGTAAGGCACACCTAGAACTTCAAGAAGAATCTTGCACAAATTTTGTAAGTTTTCTTCACGATTTCTCTCGGTGTAAAAGTTCGAGAAGCGTGGACTTGTTGTTGAGATTTTGAGCGTTTCTTGTTCAAATTTCGGTTTCCGAGATGGGAAATTAACAAGGGGGAAACAGCGGACTCCGGGACTCCGAGTGACTCCAAGGACATCTGGAGTCCCATGATGAATATGAGATCAAATACGTTGTTCTCTCGAATTTCTCAGAGACGAAAGCGGTGAGCAGATGAGGAAGTATATCACTGATCAGATATCAGCTAGATTGCACAAATATCTGTTTATTAAAACGAAAAATGCAGAGAAGATGTATTGAATAATCAAACTGAAGCCTAAAGATAGCTCACCATCGCAACAGAAATACACCACAAGGATTTAAACGAGGGACTAGACCTTCAAAATTGCTGTGTATTCACTCTGAACCGGTATAAGTTCTTTAGCTAAAATGTCTTTTACCATTTTAGATAGAAATTGTGGCGTACTGAAGGCATCGTAGGATCGATGTAAACTTCAAAAAGTGAGTGCATCATGTTCTCGAAGAAAAGTCTGAGTAAAACATGATGCAGCGATAGCCAGAGAGGTAATAATATCAGAAACTCATTCTAAGTTTTTTATGAAAGAAAAATATACTTGTTAATGTTTGATCGAGTTATAACAACAAAAGGATTCACAATGCGTACTTTTATCTTATGCTTCTCTTTAGTTTAGTAGTTTGCTCTTATGTAACGGAAAACGGGATAAATTCATATAATGGTCGATTAAAACTTCGCTGTTTTCCCAAATTTATCGTTCGCTTAGCCGGTACCCAAGCTGCGTAGTGTAATAACTGTCAATTGGTCCTATTCTTAACTGAACCAACGATAAATTTGGGAAAACAGCGAAGTTTTAGTCGACCATTATACGAATTAATCCCATTTTGCGTTACCTAAGAGCAAACTCCTAAACTAAAGAGAAGCATGAGATAAAAGTACGCATTGTGAATCCTTTTGTTGTTATAACTGGATCAAACACCAGATAAAGCATAGAACCAACAATAATTGAGTATAGCGACTATAATAAGATCTTGTCTCGAATATGGTGGCGTTATGACACCGCGATTTCTGTATGATCGCGACGCGACATAGCGAATAAACCGCGATCGCGACGCGACAGAAGAGAATCAATCAATGATAATCGCGACTTCAAAGCGATCGCAAAAATCGCGACTTATTTCGCGAGAATCTTAGCGATCGCGTAGCGCGTTCGCGGCGCGGATTTTTGTCGCGCTGCGACTTCAGCGTGACAGTCGACTTGGGTATTTCAGCTGATGAATTGAATTCTATAAAAGATTATAAAGATTATCATATATCAATGAATGCATTCTTATCAACAAGTTGTCGAACAAGATCGTCGAACAGCCGTTTCATTTGTAAAGTCAACAAAAAACGATAGACAAGCTATCTTTTTAGAAATAGAAGTTGATATACATTTAGATGGAACAGTGCCTTATGCTGATGTAAGCCACCTAAGTGAGATATCAGCTGAAAATGAAATTTTGCTTATGTGTGGTAGTGTATTTAAAAAGGTATTTACTACCCCTCCCCCCATAATAGAAGACCACCTTCTATTTTGTCCCGCAAGTCGAGTTCTAAAGGGTGGTCTTCTATTGCGGTCAAATTTTGTCACTTGCTAGTGGTTCAACGGTAACCTTCACGTGTTTTGATGTCCATCCCCTATTAGTACATTTTGAATTTTTTTTTGAAAATTCCTCTATTTTCCGACTTTTCTGGCGGACATAATAGAAGACCAGTTAGCAGGACCATGGTCTTCTATTTGGCTTTCAAGTCATATAATCGGCAGTGGTCTTCTATTATTGGGGGGGGGAGGTTATGAGCAGAACGAACAGTTACGGATAATGAAATTAACATTACGTAGCGAAAATGATAGTAAATTAAAAGACGTATATCGTTCGTTAAAAGAGGAAATTGGTGATTATGTGACGTTAACAGATTTAGGATATGTCATGCGTAGAATGGGTAATTTAGATACGGCTGAACAATTATATCTAAAATGTTCAGCGAATGTAACAGATGATGAAAATATATCAATATGTTATGAAAATCTTGGCATGGTCGCTGCAGATAAAAGAGATTATGATAAACCATTAACATTGAAAAATGATTCAATCAAAATGAAATTAAAATCATCAATGTCAACTGTACAAAATAACTATTTGAATATTGATACATATTATTTCAGTCTTGCCTGTGTTTGCGCACTCAAGAAAGATTATGAACTTCCAATAAAAAATTATGAAATCTCACTAGAATTACAAATGAAAAAACAAAATCCTAATCTCATTCGTATATCAGTAATTTATGTTAATATTGCTTCTAACCATTTAGAACTAATGAATTATGATTTAGCGCTTATCAATATTAATAAAACACTTGAAATTAACAAAAAAATTTCCTCAAAGCAACATCCAAATTATGCACTCACTCTTGCCCTTCTTGGAAAATTTTATGCTTGTAAAAAGAATATAAAAAGGCATTGGATATTTTTAAAGAAGCATTGGAAATATTTTTATTATCTCTTGGTCCTAACGACTCAAATGTAACAACGTTAGCTAAATATATTCATGAAGTTTGTATACAACTAGAGAAACAAGAATTGTTAAAAAATTATCCGTCTTATGAAATTGAAGAAAATGGAATTGATTTTGCAAGAGAATGGAATCTGATATCAAACGTCATTGTTAATATGGATCCATATAAGACATAAATATCTACCCAACGACAAACAAAACATCCTTTATATTTCTGAACATTTTTTAAAGCAAGATCTCGCAAACAGAACACTCAAGCTCTTGTAACTCTTAATGCTAATATCTATATCTCTAACACTCGCATCACTTAAACTGGCCGAAAACTCTTGCGCATACGACAGACCCATTTTTTGGCGACATCCTCGTCAAACGTTGACAGATGGACCTTTACCTCTATGGTAACTATTCCTCAACACGCCCAACATTTTTCCAGACATTCTCGCCGAGATCAGACTTGTGGTGACCGAGACAGATTTCCGACAAGAGGGAGTCTAATAGAAACTTTATTTAGGGAATATATATCACGTTTTTTCTTCCATTTCCTCGTAAAACTGTTTAATTAATAAAACGCTTTTTCACCCAACTGCAAGCGATTTACGAATGGATACAAACGGCGTACAAACCATCAAACCTCACTTACAAAAGACGTATTTCAAAGTCCAAATGAATTCTAAAAAAAAGTATTTACACAAGCAGTCAGCTTGTTGGTTATTAACTGACAATTGTAGCCGACTATCTAACGATCGATTATCTCGAGTGATCCAGATGGCTAGTAAACGGTAAAGAGTTGCTTCGTCGTCCTTTCTTGTTTATCTGCTATGACGCTGAGTTTATTGAAGATTTAGCGATTGAAAACAATAGGTCTAATTAAACAACCTATAAGACAGTGAGACATGTTCTTCTTTCAAACAAGATAAGACAATGCTAGAAGCTCAACATCAACTTTTAGATCATTTGAAAGCAGGAAATAAACGACAAAACTGATATATCGCCAACCAAAGTATGTTCTCATTTGTTAACAGAATCGAGCGTTACAGATTATCGCTTCGAGACCGGCATCATCAGATAAATAGTTTAGAAATTGAATCATAATTATTATTATTAAAGATTAGATTATTGATAACTGGTATTTTAACCCTTTGGTGACGGGTCCCGTATATATACGGGCAGTATATAAAACCTTCGTTACTTCACTTATTTTGGACCTTTCTCACTTCCCATATATTTCCTAGCAAAAATAATAAAATATTTGAGATCAGCAGACAAAACTGAGTCGAATAGCATACTTAAAACTCGGTTTTCAATCAAAACAATTTCATTTGAAAATTTTCTCTCTAGGTTAGAGGTGAATGTGTCATCCTTTTTACAAAAGTTTCACCAACGTTTTTTCGAATCATAGGCTTTCATGATTACCATGTACATAGATTGCAAATTCTATAGTAGAAAGTGCGACCCTTAGTTCATCATCACCGCCCTTCTACGTATGTTTCATTCGTGAGTGCTCGTCCTTAATGAATTTCCAGAATCACACAATAGTTAACCTTCATACTTTGGCTAGATAATCTACGGACACTGTAGAGTCTTTGACACGAATTTGAAGGCAAAATGATGCTCTTAGACTAAGTTGTGAATTACTTTTCGCAAAGAACCTCGAATTTTCAACAAAAAAAAGCAAACCTCTTCCGTAAAATAGCTATATTTCACTGATTCCTAACAGCCAACTCACAAAATTCATATCGTAGACAGAGTAGAGTGTAGCTGCATTTTTGTAAAAAGAAACAGCTTTCATCTCTCTTAGATCAGGAGCTATTGACATTTTACGGAAAAGAAAGAAATTGCTTATATCTCATGAGCCATCCAGTAAAAGAGGTGCAAACTTGGTGGGTGATCAGCATTTGGTAAGAGGTATGATCACACAAAATTAGAAGTACTTAGCTATCATGGCTCTTGAGTTACAGGGGTGTCGCTACTATTGCGCGATTATTTTTTGAAAAAATAATCCCGTCCTCAAAGGGTTAATCAAGCAGAAATGTTTGATTGCAGGTAGTTTCAACAAAAAAAAGGAACATTTGTATTATTTTTAGAGAGAAAATTTCTAGCTAAGTATTCTCACTTCTTACCGCGTGTATTTCTCAATTCAACATATGATTAAAACTCCATCACAAAATTCTTTTTTATTTTAAGATTTTTGCAAAGTCAGCATGTTTAATAGTCCTTAAACAAAGGAAAATATTTAAAACTCGGCGTATTTTCTAAGAAGAAAATGCCACTTCTGATAAATGACCGAAGAAAAAAGCTTCAACTTTGTGACAAAAGGACCGTACCAAATAAGAAGCATCGGTTTCTTCTCCTTTCTTGACGATTGTTAGCAAATGTCTGATAAACAATCAGTACATGTATAACTCGACTTCAATGTTTCTCGCTTATTTTTTCAAGTCAACATATTATACTCCGATTTGAACCAACATGCACATTTATATGCTATTGACGTTGATTGTATCCATTGCAGAATTCCACCGTGAAAGTCTTGAGTTTTTTTACATTTCTGACTAGACAGAATTCTCGTGAATTTAACAGCAAAATTTCTTTTTAATTTGAACAAAAAATGAGCGAGAAACATTGAACTCGAGTTATACACGTATTGATTGTCTATCAGACATTTGCTAACATTTGTCAAAAAAGAAGCTTCTTATTTGAGACGGCTCTGATAAAGTGGGGAGGATTATGTCTCTCGACTCTCCCACTAACTGAAACTGCTGTGTACTTACAATAGTGCAGTTAATCAAAAAAGTTATTCGCATGATCGGCGGTAGATGTCTGTAACCTGAGGTTTTCGGGAATACGTGTTTTTAATCAACCTTGGTCAGAAATCTAGGGTAGTTCTTTTGGAAATGTACCACATGTACATCGACTTTCTATCAATCGTACGAAACTTTTAGGACTAGTAGAACTCATCATGATGATCACAAAAATCATCTTAAGGGTCCCCCTCAGAAATTATCTCCGACACCGTACATCCGATCTTGACGAAACTTTCCATAAATGTTCGGTACAATGAGTTACGGGAATAAAAATATTTTTTTATCTCCAAGTCTTATGGTTCTCCAGAGATCAAGGTCTAAATAGGACCCTGAACGGCCAACATCTTTTAATATACTTCAAGCTGAAGAGTTCGGGTTTGTTTTATTTTAAAATAGATACCTAACTACATGGCCTGACCGGCGCCGATTTTTCAATTAAGCCTTTATTGGTTTTCCAGGCAACCAACAATCTCCAAAACCTGAAAAATCTTCAGTTTGACAAAAACTAAGACCTAATTCAAAAATCGACACCGATCAGTTCATGTAGTTAGGCATCTAGTTTAAAATAAACGTTAAGATGATTTCTATGGGTATGTTCGAGGAAGTCAGACTTGTTAGCTGTGGGAAAGTTCATTCACTCCAGTGAGACTCAGTTTTTGTGATCTGACTAGTATTATACTCCAGTAAATTTGATAATATCACGTTCGAAAAGTCCGAGTAAAACATGGTCTGATCAAGTCTGAAATGGGATATCCAAATGTGCAAGAAGAATTAGTCTAAGAACGTATTCACGGTTTTTCTTTCGCGGCCTTCATCAATTTTTGAAGAACTACCATTATCTACTTATTGTGCCGTGTTTTACCCGGTTTTCTCTTATGAAACATGATGCAAAAAGGTTAACGTTCAACTCATAATGGGAGTATTCGTTTTCGAAGCATATATGTCTCTCTTTTCTAAATATGACGAATATATATGTTGTAGGCAAAACTGGAACATGTATGCACATACATGCTGAATTCCAATTATACCTAGCCATATCTGGAATTTGACCAGGCAAAAGTAGGATTCCTGTGTAATAATTGAAGAATTTTGATATCTAACCAAGGAATTGTTAGATCTGACTTTTTCTGGGAAATTGCATTTGAAGAGTGTAAAGAAAAAGTATTTTAAGACAAAAATCAAATCTACAAAAAAAGAACATCTCTCCGTATGAAAACAAAGAGAATTTTAAGGTTAAAATGCAAATGTAGTACGACAATAGGTATGCAGTATATAAACAAAATTTAACTAAATCATACAGTTAACTCAAAGTACTCCTGATTTTTTCTCTATATTGGCTAGGCGTTCTAGTACAACATTATATAAGAACAGTTCATAGAAGTTTGTTCATATAGAATGCTATGTAGTACAAATTTATGTGCTAGTTTTTATCAGATACGTTCTGTAACAGCGCCATTTAACGATAAATGACTGACTGAAAAATGAGCGAGAAACATTGAACTCGAGTTATACACGTATTGATTGTCTATCAGACATTTGCTAACATTTGTCAAAAAAGAAGCTTCTTATTTGAGACGGCTCTGATAAAGTGGGGAGGATTATGTCTCTCGACTCTCCCACTAACTGAAACTGCTGTGTACTTACAATAGTGCAGTTAATCAAAAAAGTTATTCGCATGATCGGCGGTAGATGTCTGTAACCTGAGGTTTTCGGGAATACGTGTTTTTAATCAACCTTGGTCAGAAATCTAGGGTAGTTCTTTTGGAAATGTACCACATGTACATCGACTTTCTATCAATCGTACGAAACTTTTAGGACTAGTAGAACTCATCATGATGATCACAAAAATCATCTTAAGGGTCCCCCTCAGAAATTATCTCCGACACCGTACATCCGATCTTGACGAAACTTTCCATAAATGTTCGGTACAATGAGTTACGGGAATAAAAATATTTTTTTATCTCCAAGTCTTATGGTTCTCCAGAGATCAAGGTCTAAATAGGACCCTGAACGGCCAACATCTTTTAATATACTTCAAGCTGAAGAGTTCGGGTTTGTTTTATTTTAAAATAGATACCTAACTACATGGCCTGACCGGCGCCGATTTTTCAATTAAGCCTTTATTGGTTTTCCAGGCAACCAACAATCTCCAAAACCTGAAAAATCTTCAGTTTGACAAAAACTAAGACCTAATTCAAAAATCGACACCGATCAGTTCATGTAGTTAGGCATCTAGTTTAAAATAAACGTTAAGATGATTTCTATGGGTATGTTCGAGGAAGTCAGACTTGTTAGCTGTGGGAAAGTTCATTCACTCCAGTGAGACTCAGTTTTTGTGATCTGACTAGTATTATACTCCAGTAAATTTGATAATA